AAGCAGTCACGGGCGCGCATGTTTTGAACCGTTGGATCTCATCAGCTTGGTGCTGTACTTTGGCCAAAATATACTTTCCAAGACACCTGGGTACAAGGTGTTTCCATTTATAAAGTGTGCTAGCTGCACAGCTGTTTCATGAGCCAGCTCCTTCTCAGTTTAACACGTAGGCTTTCGCGACCAATATTATTCATGATAAACGTTTTTGGGTTAGATTTGAGGCCTCAAATCGTTGCACCTGATGAGTTAAATGATGACGTCACTCTGCTGCTGCTCTATTTAAGACCGGGAGCAAGAGCAGAGCCTCACTTTTCTGGCGAATTGCCTGATGATGCTGGATGCAATTACCAGCGAAAGGTCGTATTCAAAAATTGTAAATGTTGTGGTTTCACTCTTCAACACACCGGTGGGCTAAAGTAGTGAACGATTTGTCTTTTGTCAACGAGATACTTTTTTCTGATTGTCCGTGTCGGGTGGTGGAGGGTTACGACACATTTATAAATAACGCAACCAGCGCCTTCTGTTAATGGAAAGGGGTGAGCGGTAGTGTCGCAATTAACGTGCTGCGCTATAAACCCGGTGACCCGAGTTCGATTCCCGCTCACTGTCACCACCAGCGACGATTATCTGAACCGCTTATGGGCTTCCCCTAGGTCGACTCACCCTCAAATGAGTGCCTGGTGCGGTGTGTAAACGTCGCTACTTGGGAGACATTGGCGGCTGGGCGTGGTGCTGGCCACCCACCCCCTGTGTGTGTCGTGCCGGCCTTCACAGGCGCTGCTACTCGCTAACAGCACTAGCCCCAACAGTCTGTTAAGGCTATACGGGGGATCTTTGTCTGTGTTAGTGAAATGGGCCTGTAATCTTAGGGAATATCTTTAGCTTAAAGTGCACATGGTTGCTCTGCACCCACGTAACCAGATTATAATACATTGGTTGTGACATTATTCTTGGCAGCATTAAATCCATTTCCCTTACACTTTCATGCCGTGTGCCTTGGCATCGTTGGTTCATAAGAACCGCCTTCTGATCATCGTCAGCACGTGCTCTTGAGAGCACACGTCGTGTGTTATTGCCTTTTTATAAAATACCGTGGAAAGTTTGTCAACTCGGATTTTAAAAATAGGAATGCCTGCTGTGTCATGGGAGAAGAGAGAGAGTGGAAAAGCTCTGCCAGTTCTGTTTCAGTGGCCAGGCCACGCTATGAGTTGGGCCATTCAGTTTTGGGACCTCGTTGTGTGGGTATGGTCAACAGGCGCACGACTGGAAAAAGAAAACGAGAAGGGGAAACGAGTGGGGGGCGTGTGGGCGGCTGTGCCATTGGTAAGCGCAGACCTTTACCTGAAAAGTGCAGTGGCCGCAGAAAGGAAAGAAAACAACACAAAAAAATCCCACGTTTCCTGCACCGATAATCTCGGTGGCGCTGCCACCATATGTTAGCGTTCGGATGAAAATAGCAACGATTGGCGGCTAAATTTAACAATCCACAAAGATCGTACCACGAAGCATTTGCATTTTCAATGGGAACCTTGCTTGTTATAGGCACGCTGACTCTACGCTTTTGACGGGCGCACTGTATGAGTGTTTACATCCGTGTCTGTTTACTTTACAATTTAAATAAATAGGAGGCAAAACCACTGAGCTATTAAATTTGTTAACTTGCATCTCATGTTAGATTATAATAAAAATGTACAGGTGTTTGTAGCATGGCAATTGCTTGCTCACACCACTGCTGGAGGAAGGGCCTCCACTAGAGGGAGCTCTGCAGAGCCCTTCTGGAGGTTATTTTGGCCTCTTCTTCCACGCTGGTGGAAATTTTTCAAAAGAGGTGGGAATACCCACACTTTACCCCAGCGTACACTACCTGCCGATTGGCTAACTGCGGTGTACCCGTTTATATGGCTGAGTGGACAGAGGTGGGAGATTTAAGAAATGTTCACCATTGTTTCGACAGCATCTCCAGAAGATCTAGTATATAGTGAGTGGAAGCAAACAAAATAACACAGCCCTGAGTGAGCAGTGATTATCTCCGCTGGCAGCCCTGAGCCACTGGTGGAAACTCCGCTTGCTTATGGTGGGCACCAGTATTTTAATTCCAAACATTCTTGACATTACAAAAAAAAATCTGTACTTTTTTTTGATCAACCATCGACGTTATGGTGGGCCACGTTGATGTCTGTCAGGAATTCAAATTCTCAGTTTATTTTGTGAGTCGAGCAACCAGACCACAACACTAGCCCGGTACATGTTTCAAAATAAGTCCAAAGGTGACATTCATGTTATCAGTATGAGTATCTTTGAAAGTTACGTTTGTTAGGACTTATATTTTCGAAAGAGCGCTTAAGTTTTGTAATATCGGCTCAATTATATCATGCAAATCAAGGCGATGCTTTGATGCAAGCTTGAAATTAATCGGTTAAAGCATATTTTATTTAGAACAAAAATCTTAAAATGCCTTATTGCTCAATAAATATGTTACATAATAAAGGCAATGTAAAACAATTATGTAGACGATTGATATCACCCCAGAATTATTCAGAGTACAATCTATATAAAATTCCGACACAAAGTTAACTTGGTAAAATACGGATAATGTTAGTATGCATTGATAAATTACCTTTTGCTTGCATTAGCAGGGTTTGTCAACACGTGTCGAAGAGCTCTGGTGGTTATAAAGTGATTATAAATATTACGTTGTGTATACAATATAGATTTCTGCATTATCAACAGGACAATCATCGCTAATAGTAGCATTCTCATCGTCGAATTATAAATATCATTTTAAATATTCTTCCATTTATTTTTGGCTCTTTGGAATAAAGGTTTTTGAAAAATCATGGAAAATATCATGTGTATGTTGCCCACAAATTGGAATGTGGTTATTGAGATATCAAGGAATTCTTCAACACCAATATGGAATTTTGGTTTTGAATAGCTGGACCGTTATAGATTTAATGGAATTCTTCTGTGGTCCGATGGATGTTGATTTTTTAAAAATAGAAACACAATTGAGAACTTCATGGAATTTCTCTGTTTCACTTGTTGGCGCGTGGAACACAATAACATTGATAAGGAATGTAATTTCAATGTATGCTAGAGCACAGATCTGGTGCTGGTGGCATTGCATACATTAGACTGATTTTAGTAAAATTTTTCCATCATTTGTGAATTGGTGTACTGTATTCTATAATTTATTGTCACCTTAATATAACAGCATCTGATAATGGCAGAAGGATATGGTGATTGTGGTACCAATACGAGCTGCTCTTGTGGTGTAAAGTCAAGGGGGAATATGGCGTGGTGGCACAATACGGAAAGAATTAAAATTAGATGTGACAATAAGAAATAAATTTGCAGATAAAAATACACATCTCAGTACATTAACCTGTATTTAAAAACTACACCATTCAGAACGTTTGTATCAATTGTCAATATTAACACCGCCATAAATGGTTATGACTGTAGTGGCTGTAGGGGTTATGTGGACCCGTTACGTACAAAATATATGCATACAAAAACATCCGTTCTTATATTTGCAACTGAATGCATGTCGTTTAAGAATGAATATTTTTTTAATCTATGAATTGTTCTGTTGTTGCTGAGTGTCAGGCACTACTCAATGATACCTATGGCCTCAGTGGTGAAACATTCCTCCATATGGCAACCACTTTTGACTTTGTGCAAGTTTGTACTTATTTTATAGACCTGGAAGGGATAATGGGATAAGTTGACCATCTCCCATACTGAAACGAGAGCTCTCAACCTTCCAATGTTTAGCCGGTTGCTCGAACCCACAGTATCACCCACAAGGTGTGTTGTTTTTAGGCTAGGCATACTGGAATGGGCAAATATCTGAATGGGAGCTGAACCTTTGGTGGAGATAGTTGGGCAACAGTTACGGCACGCCTTCAACACAAGCAAAGTGACCGCTTAACCGTCCTGTAGCGTGAATTAGGAGTAGCGTGCTTGAGGTACTAGGGCTGTGGTGTTGAATCACCTATTGCAGTGGCACGTACTGACACGTGCAGCTTTTCCACACGCTGGCCATTGCTATGAAGGAGCATACAGCACCACCGACCATAATGCAAACCACAGCATAAACCACATCCCAGAAAGAGTAAGGCAATTTTAAACACCTGTAGCAAACAATTACAATGGGGGGATTTTTGTTTTGTTTGGGTCGTATTATTGACCTGAACACCTCCATGCAGCTGCTGAAAAGTAACCCAAACCCACATTTTTGTGGCTTGCTTTATACATTAAAAGCCCTTAGGCCTCATGAGTGATTAACCCAGTAGCGAGATGTGATTCCCGTGTTTGCGTGACAGTGTTGTTACAATTCGTCAATTTGGCGACTTCAGGTGTACGGATGTATGGTGGTTGATAATTACGCCTAATGGTTAATAACTATATGCCAATGAGCAAGTTAGTAACGGGCCGGCGATTTAATTTTCTAAGCGGTCGTTACTATCTCTCTAGGTAATTAAAGGTGCACACCTCTTTGCTGTAAAGTGGGTGTAAATAACCCCGTTCCATAATTCACGTGTGCTCATTAAATAATCCAAATCCCAAAATTATTCTCATTGTAACTGTGAAAGTGCATCTCATTATCTCTTTCCTAGTTGGCTACTTTGTTGACTTGATGGGGGTAAAGATCCTTTCTCTAGTGAACATTAAAGAGTCCTTGGCTAACTTTCCCACTTGGTCAGATATTGAAATGCCGATGCTGAAATACCATGGGAACATTTGAGGATATTATCCTGGAAGCTTGGATCTCTGGGTATTTCTTCGGGCACTTTTAAGCAAATTATAATCTAGCGATTCATTTTATACGGTGCCGTTGATGCAGCTTGGATCTCACGATCATCGCCGTGGAATGACAGACAAGCTGGAAGGCTGCCAGGCAGTAAACCGGTGCCAACGATTTTTTTTCCAGTTCTCTAATTGTGATCGCGACAAACACTTACATCTCTGATTTTTTTTTGTCTTTTTATCATTAGGTGGAACGAGACTTTGAACGAGAATATGGAAAACTTCAACAGTGAGTAGACTAACGTTGCAGCGAGCCACATTCTTTCGCCGGTTTTAGTCACGACACGGTTTTTGGGCCATTTATAATATTAATTGTTCTCAATAGCGGGTATTGCCGCGTGATTAATAGCACCATCTGCGAGGGTGATGTATGGCACGCTTGAGCAGGGGTCCCCTTTTGAAGACGAGCTCCGAAAAGTGCAAGCGAGCAGCTACCTTGGGTAAATAGTTTCAGATAAAATAAAGCGCACAAGCGCAAGGAATTATGAAGCAAGGTTCCAATGGCGCAACGTATTTTCAAAAGGGTGAATGGTTTTAGCCCAGTCAACCGTGCATATTAGTCACCAATGCAAAACACTGGAATGTCACTTGGGTTGCTGCTGAACAGTAGTGTTAGTGTGCTTGCCTGTTAGCCAGAGATGTGTGGAGGCTCAGGTAGCACACATTGACTGGTAGCCAGAGGATGTAATACTCAAATCAGGGACAACAAATAGAACATATTTCCTTTGTTTCCCACCACGTGTTGGCGAACACTGTCTTTTTTTCAGTGAGGTTCCCCTGAAGTGATAATTTCCTTGTTTGTGTTGCGATGGTTTTTTCATACATCTGTAGTGGGCTCGAATTAGGCGCACACAACTTCTTGGGAGGCAGCACTATTTATTATTAACACAACGGCAACACTTAACTTAGGGTGGTGACCACCGACCTATTCTCGCTAACACACACCATCACCGACTCTCGGACAAAACTAGCGTGGCCCAGCCAGGAGGGCTACTGGATGGCCACGCTGACTTGAGGGCTTGACTCTTCTTCACGAGGCGTCTTCATGAGGCATCTTCATCCCGGACACAAGCAGCCCCGAACCCGGGGCGGAGGCCGCTTACATGCGCCTCGCGTGTCCGGGCCACACCCCGGCCACGCCCACCTTCGAGAACTCTGGAGAAGGCTCCCCTCCTGTCCACGTGGCCCCCCAAGGTGCCCCCGGGGCCCCTCGCCCCCACCTTGATCCGGTCACGTTTCCAGCCGGGTTCACTCAGAGTGCCACGGCCTGACACAACCCCCGGGGCACTCACCCACGACCTCCAGATCCCCTGAACCGGCCGTGACGTCATTCCCGCCCCCAGATGGGATTACGTCATGTGTGTGTGTCCACATGGTAGTGACGCTACAAGTCACTACACATCTCTTTTTTTGGATTAACGTCAAATATTGTCACAGTTGTCCCATGAGTCGTGTGGAGCGGAGCAACGCGTGGCGTTCCAGTGCCAGGGAATGACCGCAGAGGATGAGACCCAAGAAGGCACCATGAGTCACTTTCGTAGGACTGTAAACATTAGACGACTCACCTTTATTTATATTGATGAGTGATTTGGCCGCACAGCAATCGTGTGTATTTTTACATTGTAAGCTGCAATCATTTGACTTAGCTGAATTAATTTGAAAACATCGTGATGGGTCTTGTGTTTGTTCAACAATAATATACAGTTAACTCGCTACACTTAAGAAGCTGGTATAATCACAGCTAATACCTGCTTAGGGGGCACAGGTTATGATGGTTGCCAACTCGGTGTTCTGACATGGGCATCATCTCTCTTAGCTCCCCAGCCACCTCCTCCTCTCTATATAGAACAATTAAAAACAAGTTTGGCAGTTGTCAATGGCTCTTAACATCCAGATAATCACGAAGATGAATTTATGATGGGGTAGGAACATGTCTGTAGGGTGGAGGGGGGGAAGCACATTACATAGAGGTAGACACTGCAGTGGGCACCCAGAGGTCGGGAACCAAGGGAAAAAAACGTACGTCCAGATGCTCGGATGCTGCAAGAGCAGACCTTGGAGGTCGAGCATCAACTGGTCCCTACAGTCACAGGAATCTAGCAGAAGCGTGGGAGTGTTGGTGCAGTGGTGTGGCATCCATGGCATTGGCTCTGATGACCTTTTGATCTTGCGAGAGGGTAGGGATTGGCTTGCGATGCTCATGCGTGCTCCTCCCTACCAACAGGCTGGATGAGCAAATTAAGAAGCTCTACAAAGACGTGAAAAAATGCGCGGAGGCAGACGGAGGTGAGACGGTGAAATGTGTATAAACGGAGTGTTGGGGATTTCCCTGTGTGACCCGAATCACCCTAATTGGTACACAGACGAACAGGCATTTTCTGTTGACTTAAATTGGGGATTACGGCAAACAAAAACCCTGCTCAAAATGCAGCTTAGATGCAATAATAGCATACTTGAGTGTAAGTGTTAATATATCTATATATATAAAATCGTGAATCTGTCTGTCTATCTGTCTGTCTGTGTGTCTGTGTGTCTCCGGACCATACGCACTTTCATTGGACGCCGGTTGCCCCTGCCAACGGCTAGCGACGCCTTCGCCGCTTTCATTGGACCTGACAACGGCTAGCGACGCCTTCGCCAAGGGCTGCAGTTTCATTGGACGGCGGTTGCCCCTGCCAATGGCTAGCCACGCCTTCGCCACTTTCATAGGCTCCGTAATTAATTAAATAATAGCCATTACTCAGTATTGTTCGAGCGCTAGGGGGGGGGGGGGGGGGGGGACCGGCACCCGTACCCAGCGTCAGCCGGGTGGGAAAATCAGGCGAGGCGGGAGGCTCTGCACGGTGCTAGGCCTCGACACCCACCACGCGAATCTAAGGTAAATTCATAAAAGTTTCACGTCCTCTACAGAGTCGTGAGGGAGGGAGAGTGGCGAGGGAGGGAGAGTGGCGAGGGAGGGACTCAGCCTCAAAACGAGTAACTGGTGTGGCGTTTTCACATCGGCACTGGGGAGACAAAGGTGGCCGGGCGTGGTGGATCCAAGTCCCGGGCGAAGCCGGGTCATGTGTATGTGTGTATGTATGTGTTTATGTGTATGTCTGTGTGTCTCTATGTATGTGTGTATGTATGTGTGTGTATGTGTTTGTGTGTTTGTATGTGTGTGTGTATGTATGTCGGTTTTTTTTATGTGTTTATGTGTATGTCTGCGTGTCTGTATGTATGTGTGTATGTACGTGTGTGTATGTGTTTGTGTGTATGTATGTGTGTTTGTATGTATGTGTGTATGTGTTTCTGTGTATGTATGTGTGTGTATGTATGTGTGTTATGTGTCTGTCTGTGTGTCTGCATGTATGTGTGTGTGTATTGTGTATGTGTTTGTGTGTATGTATGTGTGTGTTTGTGTGTATGTGTATGTCTCTGTGTATGTATGTGTGTGTATGTGTGTGTATGTGTTTGTGTGTATGTGTGTGTATGTGTGTGTGTGTATGTGTGTGTGTGTCTGTAATAGGTGCTCGCTAACAGCACTTGCCCCTACAGTCTGTTAAGGCTATACGGGGGATCTTTGTGTGTCTGTGTGTGTGTCTGTGTGTGTGCGTGTGTAGGTGTGTGGGGAGCGGTAGTGTAGTGGTTAGCGTGCTCTCTGTGTGTCTGTGTGTGTGTGTCTGTCTGTGTGTGTCTGCGTGTGTCTGTGTGTGTGTCTGTGTGTGTGTCTGTGCGTGTGTGGTGTGTGAGGAGCGGTGGGTGTAGTGGTTAACGCTACGCTGCGCTACCAACCCGGCGAACCGAGTTCCATTCCCGCTCACGGCCACCACCGGTGACGATTATTTGAACCTCCCCTAGGTCGACTCAGCCTCAAACGAGTAACTGGTGTGGCGTATTAACATCGCCACTGGGAAGACAAAGGCGGCCGTGCGTCAGTGGTGAGGGAGGGAGAGTGGTGAGGGAGGGAGAGTGGTGAGGGAGGGAGAGTGGTGAGGGAGGGACAGTGGTGAGGGAGGGAGAGTGGTGAGGGAGGGAGAGTGGTGGTGAGGGAGAGTGCTGAGGGAGGGAGAGTGGTGAGGGAGGGAGAGTGGTGAGGGAGGGAGAGTGGTGAGGGAGGGAGAGTGCTGAGGAAGGGACAGTGGTGAGGGAGGGAGAGTGGTGAGGGAGGGAGAGTGGTGGTGAGGGAGAGTGCTGAGGGAGGGAGAGTGGTGAGGGAGGGAGAGTGGTGAGGGAGGGAGAGTGGTGAGGGAGGGAGAGTGCTGAGGAAGGGAGAGTGCTGAGGGAGGGAGAGTGGTGAGGGAGGGAGAGTGGTGAGGGAGGGAGAGTGGTGAGGGAGGGAGAGTGGTGAGGGAGGGACTCAGCCGCAAAACGAGTAACTGGTGTGGCGTATTAACATCGCCACTGGGGAGACAAAGGCGGCCGGCCGTGGTGGATACAAGTCCCGGGCGAAGCCGGGTAGTACAGCTAGTTCTATTATAAAGCCATTGTAAGATACCAATTTCATTTTAGCCCTTAATGGGGTTGGAACATTTTTGCTGTTAGTGTTGTGGCAAAAAATATATATTTGTTCGTGATAAATCTTTTTTTTTTATTGAATGTAAAATGTTGATTCAATTTGCTTATTAAAGCAGCGGTTTTTATAACGTGACAAAAGTTTGGATTTCATGGGAAAACTGTTTATAATATGCACTAGCTTGTTTGCCTGTCCTAGGACGGAAGCTGTAATATTTACGAAAAAATTGAGCAGGGTATAATTGTATCTTGTATCAATTTAATGGCAGTGAATCTTGCACGAATGTATGTCATCAAACACTTCACTGCAGTTCACTGTAGCACTGTATTAATGGCAGTGAATTTGGCACAAAACGAAGTCATCAAACACTTAACTGCATTTCACTGTAGCACTGTATTAATGGCAGTGATTCTTGCACAAAACTACATCATAAAACGCCTCACTTCATGTCACTGTAGCACTGTATATAAACTGACCTTCAATTTGTTCAAACTCACTGCTCTGATACTTTATTTTCTTCTGCTTTCGGTCGCTGGAGTTGAAATAAATTGGAATTCGATACAATATCTGGAAAATCACCGAGAAATGTCGATTTTACCGTAATGTAAAAGCATAAATTAGACTTACCTTTTGTCTCAAGTGCTGAAGGAATAAATAAAGACACTAAATCCACTTTGTTGCTGCGTATAATTATTTATTAGATTCACTTTCAATAAAGAAACGTCAAATTAAAAGCGAATTTGCGAGAAAAAAATTATTTCCGCTCGACCTTCTTCTGCGTGAGTGTAAAAATCCACCCGCTCATGAATATTAATGACGGGGGGGGGGGGGAGTGCAGCATGTGGAGTGACGTCACGCGCGTTACACACAAACATACATTCTTGGCTCATTATGGTAGTAATTTCTGAAATCCGTGAGAAACAATTTCGATGCTGCCCAATCAGAGAGGTATGCTGTAAAGATTTCATGCATCTTGACTAAGAAGACGCACCTAGTAATACTCGTCATCGTCTTCAAGCATTTACACAATGTCTACTTCCACACACTCTGCAAGTAAATTCATTTCAAGATGTCAATAAGTCCCCCTGCTGAAACCAACAGTGGGGTGGCCCTCTTCTGTCGTTGGCACGAAGCCACTGGTGGAAATGTCACGTTCCCGTTGTGGGACCAGCCTCTTTCTCTCTCTCTCTCTCTCTGAGACGAGCAATAGTTCTCCAGACGTAGTGCTCATTGTATTCACCCCAAAAAATAATGAGCTCGGTTGACCTTTGACCAGCACAATAGAAAGTCAGGTGTTCTAAACGTAGCACCGCTGTGCCGGATCGAATTGAGCATGGAGCGTGTACCACAAGGTTCATCTCCCCTTTTTTTTCCCTTTACTATTTTCTCTCTACTGCTTCTCTTTACTGCCTTCAATCTCAAATGGGTTCCTCTTTAAATACATTCATCTATACCGGACGCGGCGATGCTTTGTATTGTGGTTCTGTTATTCAGTGTTGGCCTTGTTAAAAATCTAAGTAATATGAGCACATAGCGGATTATGCATTCAAGATAACAGCCTGCCGTCGTATATCGCAGTTTGGTTCCGGTTCGGCTTGGCGAACAGCCGTTGGAAAACCACCACGCTGGCTCTGCTCGGTTAGCACGGTCCATTTGCGTATGGTGTGAAAAAAGATCAGCAAGTTCAGCAAGTTAAGCATATATATGTACAATGAGTGTTTGGACATTTGTCCTCTCTTGCCACCCCCTAACATCCCGCTTCTCTCTTCTACCTCCGTGCCGTGACAGCCGTGTCAAAGTCCGCGCTCAAGATCACGGCCGACTTGCAGTCAAGCCAGTCGAGCCTCCAGGATGACGAGTTGGCGCGGGCCGTTGACGCTCTGGACCTGGCCTTCCGCCGAGTGGACAACTACAACCAGGAGAAGGTCAGTAGTGCCAGCTACCCCAGCGTACACACGCACGCACACAACACACCCGCTCTCTCCGCGTGCGTTGTGTGGCCTCGCGGCGGGCGCGTTCTCCGCTTGTTGCAGAAGTTCGAAGTTTTTCAAATCCAGCGGCCGTCCTGGTTATTATACCACAGGCGTAATAACGGTAATAATACCACCACCACCACCACGTGCGACGTCTGATTCATAGTGGACATTAAAGAACCCCGAAGTCATTCACAAGAGTAGGCTATCGCGTCCTGGCATCGGGGTCCACATGGTGAAGTATGGCCAAATGACCTCCTTAACCTGTATGGATTCGGGAGGCTCTCATCCAGTAGTAGATTGACAAAAAGGGCTGTACATGTATAAATGGAACATTCCCATAGAGCATAAATAGAGGTCTCGCTGCACGTACATCACGAACATGTGGCGAGTGTTTGCATCGTGGTTCCCTCGCTTTGTTGAGACCACCGGTGATGTGGGTTGATTCCAAGTTATGCACACCACTGGCAAAAAAAGCATTCCGTAATTGCCTTTGACTTTCTTTTGGTTGACTCGGCCTAAAATAAGTACCTGTGGACAACATCAGCACTGGTCGTGCCACCTGCTGCTGTTCCATGTTCAACTTCGGCGATAGTGATCAATTACAGTGACTGCTGCTACAGGAGTGCAGCAGGGAGGTTTCATGTAGTTGTGTGTAATATATCGGTACGTTTAAGGCCAATAACACTGGTCAACACACTTTTTCTGGCATAAGGTATTCCAACGGTTTTAAGGTAATTTTGGGGTGCTGATTCCAAATCTGGCATCAGTTTTTGTCTATCACATCAGGTTTTTGAGATATCAAATATTGCATTTTCAATAAAAACTGCAGAAGAAAAATATTTAATAAATGTGGATATCTACATAAAATGATATTATAAACACACTATCCTAAAAATACAGCACCATATTTTAACACTAAAGCAGTCACTGATTCGCAACAACTTGCAATCATAAGTGACAGAGTTAATTTCTGGTAAAATCAATGAAAATGGGGTATGCCGATAGCATAAAAATGAGATGTGATAGGGCAAATCTGAGATCATATTTGGAATAAGCACCCTGAAATTAGTCTAAAACAGCTGCAAAAGTCCAGGCCAGAAAAAATGTTTTTTTTGTTGACCAGTGTAATTCCATCTCATGTCTCCAATATTTGTGTGTTAACCGCCTGGCCACTGCCTTCCATCCGTACAAACGTGCAGAGGTGGTGTGTGTATAGAAAAGTACTTGGTTATGAATGGCCCCCCGTGGTCTCAGTATAATAAATGGGGCCCGTACGCAAGTCCTTTCATCGTACGGCATCGCCACACCCCCCACCGCACCACGCCGTGTGCATGTTGTTTTTAAGACTCACCGAGTCAGATCATGTGGCAACTAATTTGATTTTGGCTGTATCAAGACGCAAAGTGCGTAGTTGCATTGCACAGTAAAACTTTGTTCTACAGAGTATTGTCCAGGGCTATAGTATCTCGCTTGCTAAAGTGCTGCATCCAGTGGAAATGTATCAAAGCAAGTCACGTGTTTTCGATTGTACCTATTTCACTGCACAGTTAACAAAAAAACTTAGATTGCGAGTAGCTTGGTCTGCGACTGTTTTGCAAGATGAGCAAATTTTTTAAATAATAATTTGATAAACGAGCGATGTCTTGCAATACGAGCAGTACGTACAGTATACGCTTTGGCTGCCGAGCGTCACGTGATCACAACTGAGCCAATGGTTCTTCTCTCGCTGTGGGATTGTGGGTAATCATCTCCCATGCTCGGTCTCAGTCGGCGTGCCTCTGCCTCACTCGTATAGTCAACATCCGTGCGAGCGTATACTGATTACTACAGTACGTGTGTGTGCGTAACGCATTTTTTAATGTTGTGTCCAAGTGTAGTGACTGTTCTTTAGTAACTGTACTGCAAGTGAAAGTCGTCCTACACAATAACCCTCCTCCTCCTCTCCTCTCTCTCGTCTCCCTCAAACCAGCCACGGTTAAATTTTATTAACACATTTGATTACTTTCTATTAAATTTAAAAACAAATATAAAAGGTGTACAGTATTTTGTATTAATCATTTTTATATGCATATTTTTGGGTTGTGGAACAAATCATCTGAGTTTCCATTATTTTTTATGGGGAAATTCGCTTTGATATACGAGTGCTTTGGATTATGAGCACGTTTCCGGAACGAATTGTGCTCGCAATCCAAGGTTTCCCTGTACATATAATCGACGTTTGGGGCAACGGCCCTTCTACAGTTGGGTGATAGTCTGCTTTCACAATGACGAACCAGGGTTTCTGGAAATGTATATAAATTGACTTGATCATAAAAATCCGCCCCCGGTGACTTTTTCAAACCAGGCAATGAGTTGATTATGTTCTCAATTGTAAGCCTATATGAGGCTTACATGTGTTCAAATGATATAACACAGCAGGTAGTGCATTCAAATTAATATGCTGATTTTAAAATGATATTGATGCAAAACACAACGTTTCAGCAGAAGTGATTACCATCTTTTAATGGGGTAAATTAGATGCAGTTGCTTTTTTGCTTAATACAAGAGCTAATATTTCAGTAGCATTGTGTGAACGCAAACCTCCTCTGCATTGATGAAAATATAGTGTTGTGAAATTACACTAATATTACTGTAAAACCTAATGTAACAAACCACTCGCACACGCACGGATACTTTGCTTCGTAAGTGTCTCGAAGTAGTTTTCGTTAGGGAAAGAACGGTCGTCTTTCAAAATGACACCCAAGTCTAGCAGAAACCTTTAGGTTTTGTTCACAAAATGCTTTTTCATTGCTGCAACTCTCGCCGCAAGAATACGAACCATTAACATCGTAAAGTAGGAAATGATGATTGTGCAGAGCTACAATATTCCATTAATTCCGGTGAACGTGAAGGCGGTTAAGGAATAAGCAAGTGTGCGTGTGTTTAAAGCTTGAGTTGGTTTCCTATCTCGGTAGGAATGTTTGTGCTGTACTTGCTGGAAAAACCTACCAGGTGTGCTTCGATCGGGGTTTAACTATAGCCTGTGGTCTGTGTTGAGCGGTGGGTGGCCGTGAACCACATTTCCGTGCGTTTGTTGTTAATGCCAATTTATAAATCCTGTACACGATACCATGCCTTGTGGCCAGTGAAATTTGTTGGGGTGACCACCTTGTAACATGGGCTCTCGTTGCTTACATCGGTGAGGAGATGACGAGACATCAGCTTCATCTGCACATGCGTTTGCAAAATGCTTGGGTCTATGTAAACCTCTGTCTATACAGAAATGAGGGAGGATTGGCAAATGTAATGTCACTACGTATTTAACTATGTATCGATGTGGCATTGCTCAACTGTGAGACGCCTTTTGGCGTCATCTGGTCCAACACCAATGGAGACTAGGCTCTTAAGGAAAGCTGTCTCGGGTGTGGACCAATCAACTTCAAGGACAGTGCATATCATTACCATTATCAGAGTTGTTTCTTTTTGTTTGCATTTTGACTGCTTGTGTTGCGGTTATTGCAAACATGATGCCTTGTATAAAGGTGTCAGTTTTGTACCAGTTTAAAGGGTAAAAACCTACTACTATTGCACAACTGGTTTTCACAAAGATTTGTGATGGTGTTTTCGTTTAATCTTCCTCTTCCTCTGCTCGTTGTTCCATCTCCATCAGCTCAATTGACAGGTCCTCACCGTGGGGCTTCAGCAACTCCACCACATTGTCCGACTCCTCCACATTGTCGAGCCCTTCTTAGGCCAATCCTACGACGTCATGTTGAATTTCTGGCCACCGTCTCCTCGAATGGCCTCGGAGTCGGTGACACATTCGGGCCAGATCTTACGACCCACACCATTCGTGTTTGACGAGTTTACTTCCTGCCACGACTCCTCAATGATGCCAGCGGCTGACGTGAAATTATCGCCACGTCAAAAGTCCTTTTCTGACTTTTCCCCGATGAGCTTGGAGGAGGTGTGGTGTGGATTATAAGGGAACGCAATTACCTTTTAAGTTTAATGTTTTGCCTTACTTTTTTATATAAGCTTACAAGTTGGCGATAACTCTTTGATCCATAGGCTGCAGCAATGCAGTTGTGTTGGGTGGCAGTAAAAAAATACCTGAACACGTTTTTTTCATTTTCTTCACATCTGGGTAGAAATGCAAATTAAATTATTCTTGAAAAACTGCCATTGTCACCAAGGCTTTTTTGTTCGATCGCCAAATAACAAGGAGATGTTCTTTTGAAGAGCCTTTCGTAGCCCTCACTGTCTCCAAGTGGTAAATGAGCAAACCTGGGGAAGTCTTCTCTGGAAACAAACGTTCTTGCGAGCATTCGCTTCCAGGACAGCACATTCTAGAAGTTTTCCCTCATTAGCTTGAATAGTTATCTCGTGAGGTCTGGGGTAGACCAAGCATTCTGGAAATTTCGACTGCCTTTTCACCTAAACGTTCTAAAAACTTCTGATTTAACCTCTAGATCAGGGGTCGGCAACCTACGGCTCCGGAGCCGCATGCGGCTCTTTACGGGCTGCTTCTTGACGATGAGTACGTATGTACTCAGATGCATTGCGGCTCTTGAAATACTGAATTTTCTACCGAATTGGAAAGAAATGGCTCTTCTTGTTATTTTGGTTGCCGACCCCTGCTCTAGATTAATACTTTTCCTTTGCCTTTTGTTGCCAGAGGCACGCGCTATCATCGTTTACTGTGTGTTTTGCACTCATCTTTCAAAGCCCTTTGCACCTTTTTTTCCTCCAACTATCGCCTAATGCTATACAATACACATTCTTACCTCACACGTGTGCGACGAACACGCCACATGGCTTGCTGGCATACGGAGACTGAGCACTTGGCGAAGGATTGTTGTTGGTACACAACTAATTAGTTAAGTTTTTTTTTACCGCGTGCATTCCGAGTAACAAAAATTGCGCGAAATTTGTTTTACACAATTTTAACAAAATATATAAGACTTAAC